TGACCCCATTTCAGTACTGTAGTGAAGCAAGAGCCGGCAGTAGGAACCACAGGGTGCAGAAGGGGAACAGGCTTGTTTTTACTTTTTCTAAAATAAAGACAGAGTGATGTTAAGCAAACCCTGCCTCTTCATGAGTCCAAAACTCTGACCTCTAAATGATGGTCAGTTCAGTTTCACTTCTTCATTTTTTATTTATGCACATGCATTTTCCGCTGCGTATGCTGAAAGTAACAGAAAATAAAGCTGTCCACCATTAGAACATCCATACTGAAATTCATATAAATCATCCAAGCTTCAGTATCTTGCTAGTCGGCCCCATTGGCTGTGAAAATACCAGAACACTCTGATTGGATGCAGGCATTGTTCAGGTATTTTGAGAGCCAGCAAGATACTGAAGCTCGTCCCAGCGGGAGATTCCTCCATTCACACAGTTTAGCGTAGATGGAGGAATCTGTTCTACTTTTTCCATCTGACCATAGAAAATCTGCAGATAATCTATAGGTGTAGATTATAGGTGGATTGAATTTAGTTTGCTTCCTGCTGAATTAACCCAAATCCGATCTGTGGGCAGAGCTGCAATTTTTCAATCAACTTTTGATGAAAGAGGCAGGTGGAGAATTGTCCACTGAACAGTGACTGCAGCCAATTAGCTGGAGTTACTATTTGGGTATCCTGAGAGCCGCGGTGGGCTGAATTCTGAATATAATCGTCAGACTGAATGATAAAAAATCTTATGGTGTATGGCCAGCTTTCCGCTGGGTGCAAAATATTTCCATCCTGCTGTACATTTGGCCCCTTTCTGATGGATCTCCTGTCATACATCAGCCAAACCCTAGCAAAATAGGTTAGGTTACATTTTGCTTCTCCCACTTAAGTCATTGATGTCCCATCTGCATTGCAGTGAACACTGGAATCATGGCTCACCTGACTGGTAAGTATTATTAATATTTATTTACAGGCTGCTTGTAGATAATTTCTAGGGAGAGGGTAGCTTTAGGTTTGCATAAGCCTTTGGCATTGGGATTTTACTGGCTCGTATTCTCACTTGGTAGTGATGTGCAATGATTGTGCCCTGCTGATTCTCTAATCACACTGCAAGAATACTAGACATAGACTGTCTGAGTGAAAACAGACTCAGACAGTCTTTAATGGCTTGAACCCCACAATGACCAGGTGACCTTTGCCTTTAACTCATGTTATTAGCTAATGATGTAATATGCACTAATTATGTGTATAAATTGCTTTTTTAAAAGTCTGTTTTAAAGCGTGAACGGCGTCTCTGGTTACCAGGGACGCTGATCTCTCTGCAAGTGGCCGGAGCCAGCCGTGAGGTGACCGCTGGCTCCGCCAGTACGGCCAGCTTCGAGTTTCCCCTGGGCTCAGTTGAGCCGAAGCATATGCCTTCGGCTCAACTGAGCCCCTTGGCCAACTTCGGGGGCTGTATGGGCTATAGTGAATAGCCCGTACAGCAGCCCTGAACTGAAGGGGTCCTGGGGCAGAAGCTACCCGAAGGATCAGCCGAGGCTACGGCTAGATCCTTCTTTAGCTTTGTGAATAGACCCCTTAATCTTTTGCCACATTCTGTTGCTCATATTACATGGCAAAAGACTACTGTGACTTGCTCCTTTGTCATTATTTGTTGCTTACATAGAAGAAACATTCTCAATTAAAGTGCCAGCAAAGTCCACATTCTGTTATGACATCAGCATTGTAATAGGAATACATATCAGAGTTGGTTTTGATAATACAATCAAAGCTTACTAGAAAAAAATCCCTTTTATGTAGTGAGTGCTGCCTTCCGTCTGCCCATCACTTTCACCATCTTCCTGGATTCCCAGTGTGCTTTGTATCTCTTTCCCTGCTGCTTGATGTGATTCAATCTTGATTTCTCAAGAATACATATCCCTTCAACTTGTAGATTGATATGGTTTTTGGAGTGGGATAGAACTTAAAAGAGAACTATGACCCAACCTTTTTTTGGCCATAGTTCTCTTTAGGGTAACAGGAGAAAATTTACTAATGTCCTCCTGTGACCCAAAACTCAGTATAAAGCGGGCTATTGCCTGCTATATGCTGACAGTGCAGAGCCACGCTGCGGCCGGGACAGATCCTGACAATACTGACAGATACCTCTCTAGAGCCAGAGCCCGCCCCCTCCCCCATCTGTCCTCCCAGTCAGCACTGGAGGAATGGAGAGGGAAGGGGGGAATCCCTGCGGGGAGCGGCGACTGGCAGTGACCACTCTCTGTAGGGAGAAGATTGGGAACAGAGCGATCAGTGGTATATGATCGCTCAGTTCTCGATCTTTAGAGCCGAAATGTGCCGAGTTGCAGTGTCACACGTCGTCTCTAATTACAGGGAGAAGTGTATTACACTCTCCCCTGTGCCGCCCCAACAGGGGCATAGAATATGAGATGCATAGCCTCAGTTAATATTAGCATTGTTATATAGGTTAGAATTTATATAGTGTGATTTGCCTAACTATTTTCTCATAGCTAAATTCATGTGTTATCCTATGCTGCCATCTAGTGGCCTTTTGTTGTAACAAACATGTTTTCTGTAATTATTCCTCATGTGACGATGTATTTTCCCCTAGTGTAGACCCACCCTTCTTCCTGTGTGCAGTACTTCCTGTGTCATGGGCACAGTTGAAAGCCACATGTAACAAGGACACTCAGGTAATCTGCACAGTACGTAGGAAAGGCATCATTTTCTGACCGCACAATACTATAACCGTTCAACTGCTGTTCCTATCATCTGCTGTAATCCTGATGTAAAGAATAAACACCTCTTTTGAATGAATCGGTATTGACGAGTTCAGCTATCTGACAAGGATTGTCCGCAGTGAGTATATCTGCTTATACAGGCCAGGCATAGAGGTCTCAGCAAGGGATATATTTCGCTATCACAACGATCGGAGTCAGAATACTCCCCATAATTCTCCTTTAAGGAAATTCAAAATAGCAATACAGTACATATTTATTTTTAGTTTTTGAACATAGATATCCTTTATAGAAGAACTCCGGGCATCATTTATCTTAAACCTTGCATTGGAACTACCCCCATACTGCAAAAGTCAAGTGCTCGTTTTCATCCAGGGACAAAATTAAACAGTTAGACTCACCTGAACCTCAGAGCCAGCTGGCTGCTACTATGGTCCCAGCAGCCTGTCTCCTACTCTACTTCAGCGATGGAATTTCCTTTGGTGTCCTCACAACCAATACACTGTATAGGACGTGATGACTCAAGGGACCTTAGACTGCTGGAGCGGAGGGGGAGCGAGGCAGCAGGGATCAGTCTAACAGCCAGCCTCTTGTGATGTTCAGGTGAGTATAACTTTTTCATTTTTGGAGCAAAGAAAATGGTATTTTTTTTTTTTGTGTGGGGGGAAAAGAAGGTGGGGGGGGGGGGGGGGGGGGGGGTCGGCTGAATGATTGTTGATGACCAAATCACAAGACAGATTTGATTTTCTGCTTCAGGCCCAAAGCTTTATTGAACATCCAAAAACAAATAATACAGATTTATACTTTAGTGCTTTACACATTTATAACCGAGCTTTGGGTGTTGGAGTTCTCCAATAACCTCTGTAAACTCAGTTTAGCCTCCCACTAATGCCTGTTTTCTAAACTACCCATCTACTACCATAAAGAAAGGTGGAAGTAGATATCGGTGGAGTGCTGGACCCAAAGATATACATGATCTGGTATGATCCTCTTGAAAGGAAGTTCCCTATCATCCAGGGTATCCAATGGCTACCTGAAGTAATCCGAAGAAAAAGGGTGAAGATTGAGAGTGCCACAAATATATAGTTACCTCAGTAAAAATGTAATAATCTTAGTAAAAAGTCAGCAGGAAATAGCCAACGCGTTTCAGGGCTCACAACTCCACCTTCATCGGGGCTTTCAAAACTGCTGGAAATGGTGTGCTCCTAACTTCTCAGCTGACAACACAGTTCCTCTGGTGTGCTGAATTCATAAAGGGTCTATATGCTGTGGAGATAGACCTTACCCCTGGAGAAAAGACAACTGCTAACTGACTGACCATAAAGAAAGGTGGCAGAGTCCCATCTGTCACTAATCTGGAACAGGTCCGAAAACAATGAACTCTGACTGCTATTAGTACAAACGGCACTATGGAAGGTACATATCAGTCTCATTTGCAAAATGGAATGTATAATCCCTTCCCAATACTTTTGTCTGAAATTCAGGCAAGCACATTTAGGTGAACTGTTCTATAATTCTGTTCAGTCGGCCTTGTTATCCGGGTCCTGGAATTCTATGCACTGCAGCTAAGCAAATCACCTGGTCCTGGACACACCCAGCCTGTAGCTGGACAGTAAAAGAACAGTGGCACGCTGGTGAGGTAATCTCTCTGCTCCTGCATTCTGTAAGCATGTTCCCTGTATTAGATCCACAGAAAAGCAAAATGGCCCTGACTGGTTCAGAGTACTGACCCTCCCTCTGCCAGCCTTAATGCTGCTGTACAGGGGATTACAGGGGGGTTGTCAAGACAGAATTTAGGTACTTTTGCTGGCTTTATCTTTTTTATTGAATATGTACCTGGATTAAATTTATGTATCTGCCTGGAAGTAAGATGTAATTGGCTGTACAGGGCAGTCTGAGGAGAATAAAGGTTAGAACATTATATATTATAAAACAAATTCTATATAACATGGTAACTCTTTGGTTCTGCATTCAGCATTATTAATCATAACTATATCCTGTCAGAAATATACTTATACTGCACATCATGGTAAAGAGTTAATAGGCACCTCTAGCCAAAACGAGTTTTAATCTGGAAGCGTGATGGAGAAATCTTCCCAACTCTCGTCATGGCTGTGGTTGGCAATGATCGGCTTTTTTAACTTCGCTAACACGGTCACTGGCCTAAGAGAATAAGCTGTATACTCCTATGGAGACTCCATTAGGGGATCGGGATACAGACATGAAGTATGTTCTACCCTTTGGCAGATTATACATTACAGCATTACACTTGGCTTTCACATTTCTCTTTTACAGGTGGAATTGTTCTTCATGTCCCTGATATTGTACATCCAGCCTTCACATGGACCCATCACTCAGAATGCTTGCCGCAAACCCATCGGAGCTGCAGTTCTTTGGAGAGGTCTGTCAGTTCATAGACCGACCTCCAGCTGCACTGACAGGCATAGGCTCGAGTTCCCTTCTTCCTTATCATCTTTGACTGCAGCTTGCTGTGTTCAGGCATACTGTTCCTGTAACAGGACAACGGTTACATGACAATGAAACTTACCACATCCCACCAAAAAAGGGAAATCATATTGTAAAACAATAATGTATAATGGCATAGGAAACATAACTATATAGCACCCTGGAAATTCTTTGACATATTAAAAAAAAAAATCATACATACATACACAGACAGGCAGTCCCTGGGTTACATACAAGATAGGGACTGTAGGTTTGTTCTTAAGTTGAATTTGTATGTAAGTTGGAACAGGTACATTTTTTAAGTGTAAATCCAGCCCAAATGTTTATTTAGTTTTGGAAAGCATAGGCAAGGGTTAACTCCCTGTAACGTTTGTTGTGTTGTGTGTGCCCCTGTTCAGAAGATTTCACCTCACTTTCTGTCCCTGTGACAATTGGATTTTGAAAATTTTGGGTTGTCGTGGAAACAAGGATTGGTGATAAAGCTTCAGTGGAGACACCATTTTCCCATGATCACTCTTACAGGAGTGAATTTCCCTTCCTAGGGGTAGATTTCCTCTCACTTCCTGTTGTCCCAAGGACAGGAAGTGAGATTAAATCTTTCTAATGAGGATACAGACAGCAGTAAAAACCTCAAAGTGACCCGGAAGAACAAGTGGGCACCCCTCGTCTGCACGTCTAACAAGAGCCAACTTCCTGTAATGTATGTACAGCAATACGAACCAGACCCAAAAAGGCGCGCACTCCTTGTCGGTATGAGCACGGCAGCATTACAACTACTGAAATGATGCGCGGTACACTTTGGCTGCAGCCTTGAACCCCCTGCTGTACAGTAATGGCCTCCGTTTGTAAGTAGGGGTCATATGTAAGTTGGATGTTTGTAACTCAGGGACTGCCTGTATATAGCACACTGGAAATTATTTGTCATATTTTATATATATACACACACACACACACAACATCAATATTTAATAAATGCTTAGAAAACAAAACAAAAAAAGGTCCATAACCATTGCAGTTTCTCCTTTAGTAGCCGGGCAGATATTGAACCATCAATTTGGAATGTGTGTTGATAACTTCAGACACAAACGGGGCCAGGGAAAGTCCTGGAAGAGCGGTCCTGCATCATGATGCTCCTGGCTCAAAAGGGAATAGCAGAGCCCTCTCTGGTCTGCTGGACACCTGAGGACAGGGTCGCCATCAGAAATCATGGGGCTCTGTACAGCCTACCTGACAGGGTCCCCCAGGGGCCCCATACAGGAGTACTGTGTGTACCCCACTATTGGAGGTTCTGTCTTGTTGATGTTGCGGCACTGTGCGAATGAGGCCCAGCTCAGAGAAAGCCATACACAGCACGGTGGTCATGTGCTATTCCTCCTCGCCCTCCGGTCCAGTTCACATGGCTATACACGAACGTCCGTTTGCAAGATTTTTTTGCCGCGGTTGCCACACGTCATCCCATTTATTTCAATTGGCTGCCGCTTGTGTGACAAATGTAGCAAAGAAGGTCATGCAGCATTTTCAGCTGTGAGCTTCCTGCATCTTTCCAACCCCTTATTTATGCGCATTAGACATGTGTTCACTCGTGGTAAAAAAATGCGCATTTGATTGGCCGCATTTGGGGTGCCATTAACAAGTAAAGGCATCGCAAGTGCAATGCGCATTTTTGACGCGTTGCGTGAATGCCAGTGCACGCGCATTATATGCTTTTGGCACTTGTTCACAGAACGCCAAAGTGCGAACCGGTCCTTCATCCTGGGGAATCCTCCACTCATACTGCCTGCCTCACCTGAGCTGCTCTGTGCTCCACCATCCCTCCTGTCAGCCTGCACTGGTGGCACACCCACCACCACCGAAGTTCAGATGTGACAGCTTATCTGATGGGCAACTTACCGCCTGTAGCCCTTATTGGTGGCCCTGGCTGAGGATATGTAATCTAGCTGTAGATGAAGTTGGGGCCTCAGTGGCTAAGTGCATCCAAAACCTTGGGGGGCCATTGCTCAGCAATAGATTTATTTAATAATAAAAGCATCTGCAATGCTGTTTTTAAAACAAATGAAACTATGACAGGTTCACATTCACATTTGTCCTTCCATAATTCAAATGACACATGCTTAGGTGTTACCTCAAATCTTCTATTTTTAAGTTATCTAATGTACTGGCTTATTGTTAAAAAACAAAACTTCTCTACACACCACTTCTCTCCTACAGTTTTCATGGCACACACACAAGTATAAACCAGGCGGACAGAGTGATAAGCTTTCCGCTTGAAATTGCGCTTTGAATCAGTTCACATTTTATCTCCCCAGGACGGAGCGGAAATGTTCCACACAAATCAGGTCGCTAGATTACACTTAGTTTAAGTGCGGCAATCTCAGAAAAGTACCTGAAGAAGAGGTAGTCGCAGGAAGAGTCCCATTTGTAGTCATCAAATGACAAAACACTGAAGTCACAGCTGGTACAGCGCAGCTGGCTGCAAGCCCTAGTGCGGGGAAAAAAAAGAACAATGCAAGAACTAAAACACAACATCTCTGAGTTAAACGGATCTCGGATGAAGACTGAATAAAAGTGAACACATTAAACTTACTAAACTAACATTATAAATGAAAAGAGTCCACCTACTGATGGCTGTACTGACCTTCACACATCTTAAAGTGACACTAAGCTCAGGAGTCAAATCTTAATGTGCCCACACACCTTGCGATAATCGTACGATAATCGCGGGAAATCCCGCGTGTGTGGAAGGCGTGCGACCTCTGCTACTGTAAGGTCGCACGACTTTTATCTTAGGAACATGTTCCAAAACCCGCCGAGAATCGTACGATTGACGGCGGGTGTGTGGTATGTTCGTAAGATAAATGCCGCACCGGCCGGTGTGCGCAAGCGCACACTGCCCGTTCAGCATTGCGGTCATCGGAAGCCCGCCCCTCAGCGGGGCGGACTTGCGGTCATTGCAAGTACAACCCTGCCTGTCCAAGATAGAAAGATCGTACGTTTATTTAATTACCTTACAACCATCGCAAGACAAAAGTCTTGCGATGGTTGTAAGGTGTGTGCCCAGCATTAGAAATGCATTCTAATAACAAAAATGTATTTTATTTGTGCATCACTCAGCTTTAGATCCTCAAACCATCTCTGAATTGGTGCTGACATTGTCCTTCCTTCTGGAGGGTGGCTGCTTTTGTTCCCCATGGTCCCTGTGTGTGTTGTAAAGTCGCCACCACTCCAAGCTCGCTCCTGTGATGGAATACAATCTCATGTTTAGTTTACTCTATGTATTGAGTTTGTAGTCCATCACGGGAGTGAGCTTGGAGCGGTAGCTACTTTACAACACACACAGGGACCATGAGGAACAATAGTAGCCCCCCTCCAGAAGGAAGGACAGTTTCGGCACCAATTCAGAGATGATTCGAGGATCTACAGCCAAGTGATACACAAATCAGATACATTTTTGTTAATAGTTAGGGTACTTGAATGTATTTTTAAGATTTAACTCCTGAGTTTATTGTCCCTTTAACAGGCACCTTAGAGGCTCTGAAGTTCGACATAAATAAGTTACACAAAACTCAACTTCAGCTCAAAAAGTTAAGCTCTTCCACACATGTTACAATCTGACTATACATTTTTTGTACAAACAATTTTAAACTTACCACATCTATGAAATAAGAGCACCTAACTAATGCACCCAATCAATCTGCATCCAGCCAGGCAGGTCCTTGCACTTCATACGTATTGGTTGATCTAAAGGAGATTGTATAGTCAGATTGTAAGGTCTGTGGTGAGCTTAACACCTCATTTTGCCCCTTCTTCTGGTTGATGAGGCTGTCCATCACGTTACAGAAACATCAAATTGCAGGTATATTGTTGCTGGAGTTAATATTTCCATTGGTCATGGTACATCCAGAGATATCTAAAGGTACATGCAGACTGCTCTGTGTGCTGCTTCTCAGTCATGCTACTAGTTTAGTAAGTGTAATATAATGTAAAATACATCTCCATACAATATAATATACTTTGCATCCTAATTAAAATAACAGAAATAGATATGCAGCCAAATGGACATTGTACTAACAACAACCTCTATTTGCATAGTTTTACCTCCAATTTTCTGTTAAAGCAGCTGTGCCATGTGTCTGAAACGACTGTGCAGTCCATCAGAGGTATACCTAATGCACTCAGTGATCTGCACTGAGCAATGATCTGACACCCCCCTTCCCATTCTCTGCTATACAAGTCTGTGTACTGAGGGGTGTGGCTGTTACTCAGCTCTGCCAGTACAGAGCATTGTTGCAAATCTCACTTATTGATATATTTGTACAAAGACCAATAAACCATACAGGCCAAGCAAACACAAAAGGGAGAACCTGAATTAAGTGCACAAGTTTGCTTTACAGGAGGACGGACGATAATCGGTCATTATTTTTTTGTCTTTTTTCAGTGCCCTGATGTTTGGATTCACTGCCAGACAGATTGAGATTTCTGTATGTTATCACTTTCTTAACAGGTCAGAATGCCCTCTCTGCCCCCTGTGACAGTGGTCGGGCTTGTTGATTGGCACCAAGCACTGCACTGTGTGTGTGGGGTACTGTCATGCTCCCCCATACTCTGGTATTTCTCAGATGGTCCAGCGGTCGATCAGGGTGGTGGTGTGCCGCAGGGAATGCAAGTATGGGCTACTTACAGTCCCTCCTGGAAGGTGAACCTGTTACTTTGTACATATTGGCTTCTAGAAAGTATTGCACTACTCCTTATAGCAATTATAATGCAATAAAGACAGTATACTTACAAACAATCATCACATGCTATAATAAGCTCCCAATTAATCTGGATGTAGCCTCAGGTGGGGGACATACCATTATCATTAATCCCTAAAGGCAGAGCAAGTTAGTTTGAGCCCCCCCCCCCCCCTCCCCCCAAAAGAATACAAATAATCATCAAGTTTAGATTACAGTAACCTAAATATACATAGTGATTTATTATTTCACATGCCTAGTACAATTCCATTTAAAAACAACTCCGAGCTCCTACAAACACATACAGCACATGGAAAGCTAGAAAAGCAGCTGCAGATGTTCAGCTCATTTCATTATAGTGTCACACCTGTCCTGACAGGAAGCTCCACCCTCTTCCTGTAAAGCTCCTCTTTTCCCACAGTGACACTGGAGATAAAACCTGCAATTCCACTAAACAGCATGTGAATTGTTGTCATTGTCTATTGGAGGTAGGAACCACAATTCATAATATGCCAGCATGTTTTTTTGCCATATTACCATTTGGGTTATTATTACCATTACAAAAAAAAGGTGTGGTTAGAACTAGATAAACACTGAAAAACATTGAAGATCGAGACAAAAGCACTTGTGTTAAAAATTCACCCATCCCTTATAAGCATATCTCACTTTTTGAAGAATAAAAAATTATAATAATTATTTAATAATAATAATAATAATTATAAATTCACATATATTGCAAAATAAATAAATGTGCATTCATTATTTTTTTTGCATTTGAGCTTGCAAAGCATTGCAACCACGATGAGAGAATCAAAGGTTCAATGCTCTGACTCCTGTCCCTCCAGCCCCAGATCTCTAGCAAGGTACAGACCTTTGGTTATGGAGCTGGAGAAGAAAGATTTTACTGTGAGCACCAAAATCCTGTTTTCTCTTTCGTTCATTGAAGGACGCAGCCATCAGAAGATCTTGACCATTGTGATGTCCCAAAGCAGTGTAAAATACAGGGTGGGCCCAAAACCGAATAATAAAAAGACAGAATTGAAACAACCCAAGGGAAACTCAAAGTGCCACCTGCAAAACCTTGAACCAAAACTGGTGTCCAATGGTCAAGATCTTCCGATGGCTGTGTCCTTCAATGAGAAATGATCAATAGACAACATCCCTGCACTTGTGTTTTATTGAGAACTATAGGTCCCTCTGCTGTGGGACTTGTAATTTTTTCATTCACTGATCCTGTGAATGGATCTGTGAATAAATGGCAAGGCTGTTTAATAAGAGCCATGGCGAATTACAAATACCCAGGAGCCGACAGGGAGAAGCACCACATAATGCAAGTGGGGGAGCTGTTTGAGGGTAGGGGGCTGCAAAATGGCACCATGTTACACCCTAGATTTGGGTGTAACATGTAAGATAATGTTAAAGGCAGAAGGTATAGGACACTGCATAGCATATACTAGGGGTGCTTAGGCACAACTGCTGCAATGGTGCCTTCATTTAGCACCGATATTACAAGCAGCAATATACCAACAGGTCTTATTAACAAACTGTTTCATGAGTCATTAATTAACTTTCAAGAGCACGTATGAAACACAAATAAGCTCGGCTCTCTGCATGGAAAGAGCAAACTGAAGGGACTGAGATGATTTATGGGGAGGAAAAACATTGTACTGGCAGCTATTCTGAATGATTCAATGGCGCCACCTTCTGGTCATCGACTGCTATAATCAAGTAACAAGGATGCAAGAAAATGACTGAGAATGTTTTGTGGACACTACAGGGGTCATAGACAGGCAGAATGGCTCTCTGAGAGTGATAAGTGAATCACATTCATATCACTGGAAACCAATGCGTTCTTTTCTCAGTCTGTGCTCAAACATTTTTCAAGCAAGTTCTGTTTCTTTTCTCTACAGAAATTTGATTATTGGCATTCAGCCATATTGATATGTTCAATTATGTTTGACAATTCTTTATTCAATAAGAAGACATATTAAGCCCCTGCGTAGCCTGATCCTCAACCACTAGAAGTGACGCAGTGACTAGCATTACTTACCTGTAATATGGGAGCCCTTTGCATACTTATTAGGCTGCTTTCTATGCTAGGGAAGCTATAGGTAATAGAGGAAATCCCACGCTCTTTGTTCTTCCTTTCAGTTAAATAAAAAATGCTTGGTCACTCTCTAAAAATATTAAAGCTGAAGTTTTTTTGTCATTTTGTTTGTCAGCGAAGTTATCTCTAATGCTGTATATAGTACTGTCTGGATAGCTGTTTTGTTCCTAGAGTGCAGCTTAAATGAATTGCCAATTGATCAAATAAAATCTCTGTTCGGGTTGTATATACACAGGGGAAGGGGGCTACACACTAGTAACAATACATAAATCTATGTGGGTCTCCTAAATAACATTTCCATTCACCGGCTGGGAACACAGAAAATACCTGGTACATTTGGGTACAGAAGTTCATGTGACCCTGTCCCCTTCCTCTCACGTGGCCTGCATGTCCATTGATTCTACACTGTCACATGGGTGATAAGGAAGCCCTCAGCTGACTGGTGTGACCTGAAGCTTAAAGCAGATACAGTGGTACCTCTGTTCACGAACTTAATTCGTTCTGCGATTCTGGTCGCGAACTAAATTGGTCACGAACCGAATCAAACTGTGATCAGACCGCGATCTTGACCAGAGGAAGCCACGACCAGTGTCAGAGCAGGGAAGATGGTTATTGTCGTGTTCATCAACCAATGCGGAGTTCGTGAACGGAAGCAAAATTTTGCCGAACTTCCTGTTCGCGAACCAAATTGTTCGTGAACAAAAGCGTTCGTGAACCGAGGTACCACTGTATTGCATGAAATGCAAGGTCTGCTGGCTCCCCCATTAAGAAACACATATGGGTCTGCAAATAGTTTGTAAATAGAACCCTATGTGTTTCCTAAGTGGGGAGCTACATAAGTATCTATAAACATTTGTTTAAATGTTCTTTAGCATTTTTTTTACAAATCATATGTAATTTTGAATGTTATTAATGTAAAATGTAATGTAGTATTGCATTATGGCCACTAGATGGAGCTCAGGAGCATAGCGAATAATTCATTTATAGATGGCTTAGTGCAAATAGATTTGTTTAGTACATGTTCACTTTAAAGCCACACACAGGCCGATGCTCAGAGGAGGATGGGAAGCATGAGAGAGAGCGACTGGCTAATGCAGAGAAGCTCTCAGCATCGGTCCTTCTTTCCCCCTCACTTTCTCTCCCCCCCCCGCCCCCCAGTCTCTAGCACATCCCCGGGGCCTCTGTCTGCTGGGAAACACTTACATTTCCTCCAGGCAGCCGTCCTGCAGCTCCTCTTCAGCCACATTCTCTGGCGCTTCTGCCCAGGGAAAACAATTTGCAGGACCGTTCGCAGTTACTGTGACACACTCAGGGGTGCGGAATTTGTATCGGAATTGTACCTCTAAGCCCCTATGTGCTAGCAAAGTATTTCCTTTAAATCGTTAATTGTGACCGTTAATAATATGCCGTCCATCATTCACTGCCATAAATGGCAACGCTCACAATTAACCATTACAAACGAATACTCTGTAAATAAATGCCGGTTTCCTCGGTAATCCCGTCTGTACGCAAGCGCAGATACTGGGTCGGTGTTCTCGACAGAACACCGCACTAAAATTTTAAACAAGCGGCTGCCTGAGGTCCCATGCGGTGCCATGGCGGTTGGGTGGGCCCTACATGATTTCTTACACCAGGGCCCTGAAGGTTCTAGATACGCCTCTGGGTGTAAGAGTATTTTTACTTTTTCTTCTAATGTTTTTTTCTTTCACTTTGCATCTCTTAATGGGTGTGTGTGTGGGGTGGCCTTTGATTCTCACACGAAGTCTGGTTTAAATGGGGCTCTCTTACTTTGCTTCTGGCTCCTGAACGGATCAAGGAGCGGAGGCAAGGTGGAATATGTGCAAGTGGAGTGCAGGGATTAATGTAAACCTGTTGCTTTGGCCTGAATGAGCAAAGTACATGTTCACTTTAAAGCCTATTGTTGCAAATGCAATAGAAAAAAAATATTTTTATTCTATAATGTTTTTAAAGGATAAGTGCACGTTTAACTTACTTATCTCTGATTAAGTCCCACTCCCATACCCAAGTACTTTCAGTATAATTACCTCCAACCATCTTCACTGTAAGGCTGGCTTGGCACTGGATTCCGAAATCTCCCGCGCTCTAGCCGTGAAAGCGTCTCCATTGTAATGAATGGAGGCCAAAGCAAATGAGCAGCTAAGAAGATGCCAGAAATTTACAAGCAGAGGCTGTGCATTGCCGGGCAGACAGCACAGTAAAGACGTAAGAACAGTAGAGTTGTAGGGACCTAGAACATTCTGAAATTGATGGGGTAGGGGACAATGAGGGTTGTAATAGATAAATGTGCGTGTGATATTTTAATGAGCATTATATCATGCACATGACCTTTCAGATGTCACTGCTGCCTTTATTTTACATAAATTATAAATGAAAGAATACAAGTATCCATTTGAAATAAGCTGACTATATTCCATAAGACTCGTATTAAAATGACATTAAAGTCAACAAAATGTTTCCCTCCCCCCCATGTTAATGTTACCACTTACCTTAAATGATGTCTCTTATTCCGATCTTCTTCCTTCCTGATGTTTTCATCTGTCCCTCCAGCGGTGTTGCGGCTCTCCGATCCAGCGCTAACTGCTCTGTCCCTCCGATCCAGCGGTGTCTGCATGCGGGTGCACGCGTCCATAGACTTACCTTGCGTCTCTGCTCGTCTCCCGGCCGAGAATCCGAACTGCGCATGCCCCAAGATCCTTTGTGGCCGCACGAGCAGTTCCTGATTCTCGGCGCGGGAGCGCGCAGCGATGACGAGGTAAGTTTAAACCGCTGTTAAAGTGTTTAAAAAACAACAACTTTTTGCCTATATCTACTGCATGCTAGCTAGTAGATATAGGCAAAAAAAACGGGAGGGTTTAGAACCCCTTTAAGATGGTCTTTGCCTTCATGTACAGTTATACATTCCACCATGGAACAAAAAATGTCATATCATGCAGGTCTTACCACTCGTTCCAAATGATTGATGACTTTGCCACTCTCCAGATAAGTTATAGTATACAAGTACCATTAGATTATGTGAAAAACAATATTTACCGTTCTGATATATGTGTCCCAAAACCAAAGGAAATCATGGTCCCACCAAGGTAGACTGGACAACATCTGCAATACAGAAATGTAATGTGTAATTGTAATCTTTGACATCACATATCAGTACTTTATATGTTGGGAGGCCCAAATGTGACCATTGCTGAAATTGAGATTATTTTATGATTTCAATTTATTTTTTTAAGCAACTAAAAGCAGTCACTTCTGACCTCAAAAGCAAACTGAATACATCTAAGAGCACGATGCATTTGTTCACAAACACAAGCCCTTAAGTTTTTTGCAGAGGGGCGGATTTACTAAAGTAATACAGACTGTTCATGAATCTTTACAGAGCTTAGTAAATGCAGTAAAGCTATATTCACTTTTACTACCTAATTATGTACAAGGGAAATAAAAATATAAACAGGATTTGTTCTTACCAGCGACAGGGCAATTGAGGTGAACACAGCTTCACCTTATTTGCTAAGCAGTGAACATTCACCCTGCTGTGCGGATCTCTTTAACCTATATATCTTAAACATCAAACATGTCTTCCTCCCTAAACTCAGATTGTAGAACCACATTGATTTGAGCAATGATGGACTTTTAACTTCCATCACTTTTCAAAGACCTGAAGAATTTTTGTTTTGCAAAGATCACATAGGCTGCTTCGTCTTCAGGCTCTGAAAATGGGATCCCATCTGTTAGTCATGAAGAACACTCAGAACCTGGTAATGAAAGCTTCAGAATTTCCATCCCTTACTTCATCGTATATGTTCCAAATGGAAAATCGCAAACCATCTGTGCACCTTCGGGAGTGCTTAATCTCCAGAGTCAGCGTTCAGCTACTCAAAGCACAATCTGCACCCAAATCACGTATACCACAATCATCTAACTTTATTCTTTTGGGCTATTTATAAATGTTTTCACACAACTTTCACCCAAGAATCGAACATTATACCAACTGAATCCATTTAGAGAAAATAATTGAATCTTGGCCTCTCCTTACATCTAATATTCATCACGTATTACAAAGCTGGGTTTTAATACTTTAGAAACAATGAACTTTCAGACAATGTGGACCTATTCTTTTTGCCTCCTCCCCATACCTTACAGATTCCACTCTCCCCCTCCACTTATGTATACTTACCGAGATCCGACAACATGGCCTTCTGCGTTTGTTGACATCCCGCACCACTAGTCCTCTCTCTTGGTTGTGCCTGCGATGTGGAGCCCCATAAAAGTCTATGGAGCTCGTCTTCTGGCCAGGAGATGGAGCTAGACAAGCCCCATAGGACCGTGGTTCTTAACTGGTGGATCGTGACCCAAATGTGGGTCGCAACCCTGTGTTCAGTGGGTCACCGTGTGCCGTCCACTGTGCCAAGTGAAAGGCTCCTCAGCTTCCCCCTAGTGCAGCACTGTCAATTCTTGCGCCAAGCAGCCATTCAAGATATGTTGCCCGACACTAAGGGTCACCTTGAGGTGGGGTGGCTGGGGGTATGGCTGCGAGGGAGCTCTATACATACGTGCATTGCTCACAACTCCCTGGCGTGCCCTGTAGAGTTGCCTGGACCGAAGTGACGTCACATTCTGGCTCCCGGCACCTCTACAGGGCACACAAGGGAGTTGTACCAGCAATGCACATATGGATGGAGCTCCGTCACAGCACAGCAGCCCACACTGGACCCCAGGCTAAGGATACACTCCAGTTCTCATAATGTAGGAAGACTGGGTGGATCATAAACATTTTTTATTTTTTTTAAATGTTTATCGGAGTGTGTATGTGTGTGTGAGAATGTCTGTGAGATTGTGTCTGTGGTCTGTTTACATCAGTACAGTGCAATAATCACACAGTCCCATGCGATTAACGCACCTGTACCATGCAATCGCACCAACCGCGAGTTCTGATGCGGGAGGTGTGCTGCGTTGCCATTCATTTGAATGGCACCCCAAACACACTTTCTGCCCACAGTACGATCGCCCACCCTGGAACGTGTGGTATCTCAATGCCGTGCAGTCTGGTACGATGTGACTGTGGGTCGCGACTTAATGACCAAGGACAAATGTGGGTCCTGAGGTTACACAGGTTGAGAACCACTGCCATAGAAGACTATGAGGCTCTACTTGGCAGGCGCGGACAAGAGAGAGAGAGAGAACTTGCAGTGTGGCATGTAAACAACTCCCAGAGGCCACGGGCATCGGATTGAGGTAAGTATGCATATGTGAAGGAAGAGAGTGGGATATGTTAAGTCATAAGGGGAGGGGGCCAAAAGGGATAAGTGTGCTTATTATTTAAATATTAGCAAACATTTTCCCTAGTTTACTACTACAAACATCACCAGTCTAGGCTCGGTACTATTCCTAATCACATTTAAAGCTCAGATGCAGACAAAACTTTTTTTTTAAAGCTTTGGATAGTATGAGGAAAAGTTAGAACCTATGCCCATTAATTTTACTGTCTGAACCACCAATTGGATGATATTCTCTCACTTCCTGCCCTGTTGATAAGGTGCCAGTAGGACAGGAAGTGATAGAAAACTGGAGGCAGGGGGTTGGATATGGACTCTTTTATATTTTGTAGCCCCTACTCTGTATTTAAAACGGGATATTTTCCTCCCACGTTGTGACATATCAGGGTTTAGTAGTGGCATAGCCTCATGGATGGACTGATTTCTAAGACCCAAAAGTAATCACTAGCCTATAATAATTAGAAAACTTTGGTGTGAAAGTCTGATGTCCCCTCCAATCCCCGGGGAAGATGGTTCCTGATCTGGCTGCATGTGGAAACGGAGAGAGGGGGGTGTGATACACACATGTTGTTCCATGGTGACATACTGTATGCCTGTATACATACACAAATCTTTGTTAAATTGGACAAACTGCTGTTAATATGTAATGTTTTCATCATCTGACTTCAATGTAATTTGTATTTCCTTATAGAAATTAGACCTTGTCTGCAAAACGAGTCACACTACTACTTCCTCGTGCCAAGTATCTCCCGGTCATCTAAGACACGTTTTGTAACCTTATGTATATGCTATGGCCTGGTGACACAAAGCTGAAGTATACCAATATTGGATATGAAGGGAGTAGGCGCTGGGTTACTGTGCGATCAATGCTGATTTAAGGACTGTAACTGTCACTATGTTTGGAACAATGCACCATTGTACTTTATATGTCTTTTTTTAATGATGAGTGTAATATGTTTTGTATAATTTGCTGATTTTGAATAAACTAGAAGGCAACCTTTCCACATGGCTGAATTAATTCATGCTTTCATTTTCTTCATTGATCTGTACATTTTTGGACAGCTAAAAAATCCTTTACAATTGGATGGTATGTTTATTCAAATAGCATTTTTATTACTGTCTGAACCCCTAACGGGACCATTTTCTCTCACTTCCTGCCCCATTAATAAGGTGCCAGTAACACAGGAAGGAGATAGAAAACTGGAGACAAAGACCGCAACCAAAACATTTTAGAATAGTTGAAAAGGTTTGGAACTAGAGGTGCACCGAAATGAAAATTTTAAAACCGAAATGAAAAAAAAATGTCGGGCCGAAACCGGAAATGTTTTTTCCTAACTTTTTCAAATTTTATAATATTTTATTTCTATTTATTTTTTATGAACTTTTCAATTTTTTTACATTTAATTTTTATTCAATATTTTATTTTTTTACTTTACTTTTAGGTGCTTCAGGGAAATATTAGGGGTCTAAACAGACCCCTGATATTTCCCTTTTAAAAGAGCCTGAGAACACAGAGTCTTCAAAGACACAGAGTCCTCAATCTCTTTTTCTGCAGCCCGTTATAAATGAACAGGAATCCTCTATACTGAGTGTTCCTGTTCATTCATAACATGAGGACAGAGTATGTTTACTATAACCACAATTATGAATGAACAGGAGGTGATGTAAATCACTTCCCATTCATTCATAATTGAGATTATAGTAACCACACTATGTCCTCAATTATTTACAAACACTCAGCGATCACTGACTGCTTGTACTGGTCTCCTTCCTGACAGCTGTCACAGGAGGCTGAGCGAGCGGTGCGGCTGGAGAGCTCGATCTGACAGCTGACTCCTCTCCTGCACCGCCGGCCGGCCTCCTGTGACAGCGCTGGCTGTCTCCACCCACACGGCCGCTCTCCTGATCTGTGACAGGAGGCTGAGCGGTGCGGGGAGGAGAGACGCCGGCCGCTCACAGCGCTCTCCTCCCGCAGCGCTCGGCCTCCTGTGACAGTTTCTCTCCTCCCGCTGGGACACAGAGCAGCACCTAGCGGGGAGGAGAGAAATCCCTGATGCACCTCTATTTCGGCAGAAAAGTCGCACTTTCAGCATTTTGCCAAAAGTGCCATTTTTGGCTGATATGCTTCGGCGGCCGTTATATCGGTGCATCCCTAGTTGCAACCTAGAACAGGTTTTAAGCGCCAACTGTGTCAAATTGGAGAAATTTCCCTTCACTTCCTTTCCCAGTGACAAGTATAGGAAGCCATAGGAATTTTTTCCAATGAGGACTGATACAGCAGCTAAAATATCTTTTTTAGTAGAGTGAAGAAGAGTTAGGAGCTCTCGTTGGGAGTTTTATTTGTTGACAGTCTTTCTGTCCTATTAATCCCCGTTCCTCTCCTTTCTTGTCTTCATTTCTTTATATATAACGGTTACCATGACAGCTGTGGTAACCGTTAGGTTGTTTTAGGTTGGTTTAGGTTACTCTTAGATTGTTGTAGAGTTTAATATATTGGTTACCATGACGCTGTGAGTTATTAGGTTGTTGTAGAGTTTAATATAACGGTTACCATGACGCTGTGAGTTATTAGGTTGTTGTAGAGTTTAATATAACGGTTACCATGACGGCTGTGAGTTATTAGGTTGTTGTAGAGTTTAATATAACGGTTACCATGACGGCTGTGAGTTATTAGGTTGTTGTAGAGTTAGGTGTCACTTTTTAGTGATATTCTGGTAGATTAGGGGTGCCCACAAGGTCGATCGCGATCTACCAGTCGATCGCGTAGCGATCACTGGTTGATCGCCATGTCCTCTCCTCCCGGCGCTTCTCTGGATCCCCGCTGCTCTCCCCAGCGGGGTTCCGAGAAGAAGTGAAGGAACCGGCGGCGGGGGAGGACGGAGCCGCTGTCACAGAACTAATGAAGAGCGGCGAGGAGAGAGAGAGACGCTCGGCCAAGATCTGACAGCCGGCGCCTCTCTCTCCCCTCACTGCTCGTCCGTTCTATCACAGCGGCTCCGCCCCCCC